ACTGCTGAGAATCTCGCCGATCTGCCTTCTCGGCGAGCCCGCGCGCGCCTGCGCGGCGCTGCGCGCCGGCCGCGGGCGCTGCGAATTGCGCGGGGGGCGACGCGCTCCTGCTACGCATCGGCGCGGTGCGCACGCGCCCGTGGCTCGACGAAGCGTTCTGGCACGCGGGCGCCTGGGGCGCTCTGTCTGTGGCGCGCCTCTTCGGCTAAATTGCGCGCCATGAAGCGCCCGGGTGCCTACTTGCGCGTCGGGGCGCTCGCGTTTCCTAAATTTGTCGCCGCGGCTGGGCGCACGGCGCGCCGCCGCGCCTGTCATCTCAGGGCCCCGCGCTTGTCGCAAGCGGGGGGCGCGCGGATAGCGCATCGCGCGCGTCGCTCGCTTTGTCTGTTGCGCCTCGCGGCTTTATGTCTTCCTTGAGTTGTGCTCCTTGCGCCCGTCAGCGCCCAGGTCGGCCGTTGTCTGGGCAGCCGACTGCCTGGCCGAGAACGGCTTCGCGCGCGCGAACTCGTCGGCGCGGGCCCCGCAGATCTTGAGGGGTGGCCAGCCACCGCGCAGGCCAATGTCGAGGTCCTGCATGACTTACTCAGGACTGCCAAGGTTGCTGCGCGCCGAGGCTGGGGGCAGCGCGCGGGTTTTCGGCGCGCGCTGCCCCCCCCCGCCGCGCGCGCCCCGGAGGCGCGCCCGCCCCCGTGGGCGCGGCAGCTGGCGGGCGCGCGCCCGCCCGCAGCCGGTCGCCGGCGGCGCGCGCGGCGCCGGGCGCTCTGGTTGCACCCGGGCCGCCACGGGCGCGCGTCGTTTGCCGCGCACGCTCGCTTGTTCCTTGCGCGCCGTGGCTCGCGAGGCGCCCGTCCCCAGCGTCCTCGACCGCCTGGCCGCGCCGATCGCGCGGCCTGTGACGCGCGGGCCCCGGGCGGCGCTCGGCGAGGCCGCTGCGCGCCTCCGCAGTCCGGCAGATGCGGCCCGTTGGCGGGAGGAAGAACGCGTTCACGCTATGCTGCAGCCATGCGCGCGGTCGCTCCCAAGCGTGAGAAGCGGCCTCATTTGTTGGGAAGCTTTCTATGTCAGAGCGGACTGTCGCCTGGGGCGCCCTCTTTCACTGCGGGGAGACGTGCGCAAATTACTGCAGCTACGTCAAAGTCGGTTGCCTCCTGTCCGGGGTTTGCGTCGCCGTGTTCGACCGCCCCGAGGTCGGGCGCGCGCGCACCGCCGCCCGGGCGCGAGCCGATTGGGCTCCGCGCCCCCGCTTGTTCATCAGAAAGGGCGCAGTCGCCGCGCTGGTCGAGTTGGGCGCGCGCCGCCCCGAGTGGCTCCGCGCTTCGATGCTTTTCCTCTTCGACTACACGTTTCTGTCGAGGGTTCCCGGCGAGGCGTTGCCGGCCGTGCGCGTGGCCGACGCCGGCGACGCGCCATGCCTTCAGGCGGCGCTCGTGCTTGGCGAGGCGGTGCTCACGCTGCTGCTGCGGCGGCGGAAAAACCGGGCGCAGGGCAGTCGCCTGGCGCGGAGGTGCTGGTGCGCATCGTGCCGCGCCACGTGCCCCGTGGATGCGGCCTGGGCCGCCCTCTCTTCGGGGGCATCTCGGCTGCTGCTGCGCTGCGTACCCTGCGCGAGATGCTCGCTGCCCTCGGTGTCCAGTGGGCAGACTTGTTTCGTTTGCATGACCTCCGCAGGGGCCACGCCAAGGACCTGCAGGAGGCAGGCGCGACGCTTGCCGAGATTCTCGCGGCCGGGGAGTGGCGGCCCTGCGCCTTCATGGCGCATCTCGACCGTGACGATCTGGAAAGGAACGCGGTCGTTGAGGCGGGGCCGCACGCCCTCCGCCCGCGCCGCGTCGCATTGCACGCACCAGGCGCACATGCTGGAGTCTGATGCGGACGAGGAGGGTGCCAGTTAGACGCCGGTGGCCAGCGCCGCCGCGTTCCGCTCCTTGCGCGTGGGCGTGCGCGCGCGACGGCGCCCGTGCTCTGCCCCCGCGCGATCGGCAGCGGGTGTGCGCGCGCGTTGCCGGCCCGTGTCGCCTGCGTGCCGCGCGGCATTGGGTCTGCACGCAGGCGCGGCGCGAGGCCGCCCATGCGGCGGTGCGTCGGGCCCGGGCCCGTCGCAGCCGCCCATGGGAGGCAGCCTCGCGCCGCGCCGCTCCCACCGACGGCGGCAGCAGGCGGGGTCGAGGCCCTGCGCGCGCGGCTCGATTTGTGGCGGGCCCACAGCGGCAGGTGCGCTCGAAGACGCAGACGCCCACCGTTGTGGGCGGACACAAATCGGCCACGGTTGCGCGTAGGTCGCGCGCGCGGCAGAGCGACGCGACCGCGGCCTCGCTGCGCAGGCGCGGGCCATCGCGCCGTCGCGCGCCAGGGTTGCGTCGCCGCGGGGGGGGGGGGCGCTGCCCCCCGCGGCGCGTGCGCTTCGCATGTGATTTGCAATTTGGAGGAGGCGCCGCGCGCGCGCGCCCGCGCGCGCGCGGCGGGTGCCTCCCTGGCGCGCGTTCTTTCTCCCACCCCCCACCCTGTCTGCCGCGCGCAGGCGTGGCGCGAGGCCGCCCGCGCGGCGGCGCGTCGAGCCCGGGCCCGTCGCAGCCGCCCACGGGGGGCAGCCTCGCGCCGCGCCGCTCCCACTGACGGCGGCAGCGCGCGGGGTCGAGGCCCTGCGCGCGCGGCTCGATTTGTGCAGGCTCTCTCGGGGCGGCGAGCGCACTTCCCAGGGCCTTCTCGGGCGCCCCTTCGCCTCCTCTCTCGGGCCACTTTCCAGATCTGGAGAAGAAAGACAAGGGGGTCATGGAGTCCGGGCGCGCGCGAGTCCGAGTGTGAACGGGTCTGAGCGCGACGAGCGAGTCCGAGCGAAGGCGCGGGGGCGGGGCGGGGGGGTGGCGGGATTGCAAAAAAAAACGCGGTGGTTGTTGGGCCGAGGAGGCGAAAAGGGCGCTTGCAGAACGCGACGTCGGCCGGGCGTTCTTTGGCCGGCCCCCCCCGACGAGGGCGCGGGGGGGCGCGCGCGAGCAAAATCGCGCCAGTGGGGCGACGGGCCCCTCCAGATCGCCCGAGAGGGCCCTCCATTCGGTTTGGCAGCGATCCGCGCCTTTCCGGGCATATCCAGCATGGGGCGTCTATCCCCCGTGGCCATGCGGGCTCGCGCGAGCGGCCGCTTCGTGATCCGGCATCGTTCTGGCCTCGCAGAGTTTTCTGCGCCGGAGAGTCTCGCGACTCGTGCGCGGCCGCGGAATGGGCGACTGAGCGGGCGCCAGCAGTGGCGCTGCGACGTAGAACCCCGAAAAGCTCTTTGCCCCAATGGCCAGCGATTGCCGTCGATGGCCAGATTTACCGACGGGGGGTGAGATCTGGGAGCAACTCGACGAGCGCCATGCTAGGATGTTCGCGCGTCGGCCGCGTGCCCCCAGCAATCATGAGCAGGCTTTTCGACCACCAAAACCGGGGTCCGCGCAGGAAGATGCGCGCGAAGAGGGTCGTCTCTGAGGGGTGCGACCCCGAGGGCAGAGGTGCCCCGCAGGTGCGTGAGTCTGACGGAGACTACAATTAGACCCTCCTCATCGGAGGTAAACAGTTGGCAGTGGCAGCATATCGCGCATAGGAGGCTGCCCCCAACGACCCAAACGTGATGCGGGCCAAGGAGTTGGGGCGCCAAGTCGCCCCGAGGCCCAAGGAGACGCCGCGGGGCGTCATGGGGGAGATCGTAGAACACAGCAACAGGAACAACAAGGGCGCGCAATGCACTTGACCAGAGAGGGTGCTCGAAGTACCTGGCGTTTTGGCAAATGCCAAGGCTGATTTGGATTGTCGGTCGACCGATCCAAATACATTGCCCGCGAAAGACGAATGCATTCGCCGCAGGCTGCTCGCGCAAGGCATCAAATATTGGCGCGAGGCTATTGTTCGCAAACACTGTCTCTTCCAGGAAGGATGGAAGGATGGGGGGGGGGGCAAGGGGAGCAACGTGACGAACGGGAGAAAATCTCTCTCGTCATGCTGCTCCCCCCCATTTTTCCGCCCATCCCTCCTTTCCCCGTCTTCATTTCTCGTGCTTTGGTGTCCTGCAGGGTGCGTTCGCGGAGTTCCAGATATTCAAGCATGCGAAGCAAGCCCGCGCGATTTTTGCGAAAGGCAAGACGCCTGGCGCAGCGCCCTCGGCGTCGGAACTGGACGTAGTGAACGCGCACCAGGCGAGCAAGTTCGCGTCGCGCATGGAAGAGAAAGCCGACGCGGAAGAGTTCGAGAAGTCGATGGAGAGGTTCTCGTGATCGGTGGTTTCGCGGCCCGAGGAGATGGCGAACCGCCTGGGGCATTTCGAGGGCGTGGATAGGGCGAGGTCTGGGAGTGCACCCTCTACGTCGGCCCCGAGGCTCGCCTGCCAATGGACGAGGGCTCCGCGCCGAGCCAGGGGCGTCACTTGATGATGGGCATGCTGAGCACTGAGGTTGCAGGGCCCCCCCGTCGATAGACGCGAAGACTGCGAAGACCACTGCGAAGACGTCTGGAAACAAGGGGGCTCCACCAGGGAACCTGGGAAGGCCTGGCGGGCCGAGGGTGCTGCAGCCCTGGCGGCATTCAAGGAACGCGCTGCGGATGCGACATTGATCGGGAACAAATCTGGGCCGACGCTTTCAAGACAGGCGTCGCAAGTCCTTTGCGACGATGCGCGCGGACAAGGTGCGCGCCAGGGTCTCCGCCCATGCAGGGCCGAGCGCGCGCCGAACATGGATGTCGAGAAGTTGTGGCCGGGCCTTGTCCGCAGGGAGATCGTGAACTTCGCCATCGACCAACGCCCTCAGATTGCCCGTGCCGGTTGTTTGTCTGCTATGTCAATTTCAGCTTCAGGCAGCGGCGACGGCGGCGTCGCGGACTTCATGGCTGAGTTTTGCAGCGGGGACGCGGCCGCCAACGTCGCCAATGAGCTAGCGACGATGGAGGGGCCTAAGACGGATTAGGAGGACGTCGCCCCCTCGGCAGACCAAGTGGCAGCCTCCTGGAGGAGGCCCTGGATGTTCAGGAGGATGTGCCGCGATGAGTCGCCGGCCCTGCGCGTCGCTAGCTTCGCGAGCCTCGCGACGCAGCGCAACCTCGCGACGGGCCGGGGCTGCGAGGTCCTCCTCCAGCTCGGGGGCGAAGGAGATTGGGAATGCCCCCCCCCGCCCCTCCCCTCCTCCTCCTCCTCCTCCTCCTCCTCCTCCTCCTCCTCCTCCTCCTCCTCCTCCTCCTCCTCCTCCCCTCAGCCTCCCCTCATTGAAAAACGCTTCCATTTTCTTCCTCCCCCCCCCCCCTCCCCCCACCCCCGTCGCTCGCCTCGCCGCCGCCCGCCCCCCCTTGCAGACTGGTGTAGCCGACAGGCCTGGGACATACATATTTCTATATTTTGTAGTTTATTATACATATATCTATATATATATATATATATATATATATATATATATGCACATATACATACATGCACATATCTATATACACACATGTATAGCAATGAAGAAGCGCCGTGCACTTCGCCGTGGATTGGGCGATCAGGCAGCGGGCGGCAACCCATGGGATTTTGGCGGATTGCGCCAGGCCTGGGCGCGATTCGCGAACGCCCGTTGGTTTCAGCCATCGCATTCTGCGCGTGCGAGCGCTGCCGGGAGCTTATGGATTGGGACATCGCCGTTCGCGACAGCGGGGGCATCTTGTCGGCCTTCGAGGTCCCGTTCACGGATACCCCGACAACCGTCGCGCCAGAGTGGGGGGCTTCGCGAAGCTATGCGTCGAGTTCGCGCATGAGGCACGAGGCAAGCTGCCAGATGAAGGAGAGGATCCAAGGCACAACCGACGAAGTGTTCACGAACGGTGACCAGGCGGCGCGACTGATGGGGGCGCGTTACCGCAGCGCCGCGCTTGCGGGCAAGAGCCCGACGCAAGAGCCCCGTTTGATCCAGAAGAAGGTGATCGACGGCGCGGCGGCTGAGGCAACCCACAAGTTCGCTTATTTTCAGAGGTGCGCCCAGACGGCCGACATGCACGAGAAGGCGCGGCTAGCCTCCATCGAATGCGAGGCCCAGGAGGACTGCGCGGCATGCGCCTCGGACATTTCCAAGGAGCTGGCCGCGGCCGCGGCGACCGTCAAGCAGGAGAGCGAGGGCGCCGCGGACGCCGTTGCAGCGGGCGCAAAGCAAGGCGAGGCGGTAATGGGGGGAACATCTACGTGCTACACTCTACTTCTACTCTTCCTCATCCAATCGCCCACGTCGCATCTTCCCCCTTTCCGTCTCCCCCCCCCTTTTCTCCGCCTGGCGGCGACGCGAGGGGGGGGGGCGGGCGCGGGGAAAGGGGGGCCGGCAAGGAGGAAGCACGGTAGAAATGATGGCGATTGGACGAGGCGGTTCCCCGCGCTAGTTTCGCATCGCGTTGTTGTGCGTGGAGCTGGCATTTACTCGGCTGTGCAGCGTCGGGGTTGGTGCTCGCTCCGGCAGCGGCTACTCTGGCGCGCGCGACCAGGGCGGGGCCCGTTGCGTCGACGCGCGCGTGCCGCGCCAGATGCTGCTCAACTACTTCGGCCCGTTGTCCTTGGTGCCCAGCGAGGGCTCGATCAAGGTCGCCGATGTGTTCGGCGCGCCCGTCTACGCGGCCAGCAAGGGGGGGGCGCGAGCCCCTGGTTCGCGGCAGCTCGAGGCGTGAAAGCCCATGGGGGCGTCGAAGCAGCCGCCGAGAAGGCCGCGGCGAAGGCGACTGACAACGGACCAGGCAACTGGCGCAGCTGGTGCGCTTCAGGGCCCGACGCCCGGCGAAGCAGGATGCTTTGCTGCGGATCTCAGCCCGTCTGGGATGCCGCAGCCTGCCTTTGCCGCCGCCGCCGCTGGAGCGCGCGCTGAGCCCCGCCCCCCCGCCCCCCCCCCCCCCCCCGGCCAAGACGCAGCGCGCGCCCGCGAGGAACGCCATCCACCCTGAGGAAGATGAACCGCCCATGAACGTCAAGCTTGCCAAGTTCGACGCCCCCCTGGCCTGGTTGAGGGCGCCTGAGAAGGCGCTCTTTTGAATGCGCTGTCCGATGAGGTCCCAGTGGAGCTGCCGCGCCTCGAGCGCGCTACCTGGGCGTCGACGCCCGCCGTCGGCGCCGCGGCGAAGTCCACTCGGGGCGCCGCCCCAGGCGCGATTTCCATGGATGCCGCCAAGGACGCCCAGAAGAGCGTCGATGAAAGAAGACGAACGACACGGCCGCAGACAACAAGTTGACCAACCGAGCAGGGGTCCGCTCCGCCAAGAGGGGCGCGCAATCGGCGGTGCCTAAGCACCTGATGCTGTGAGACTTGAGGGTTTGCAGGTTCTGCGCGTTCACAGATTCCTTGTTTCGCCCATGCGTTCGGTAGATCTCTCGGCAAAGCTCGTTGGACAGGACAGCCCATGCCTGAGGCAGAAGCGGGGGTAGCGAAGGGGCGCGGGCTTGGATATGCGGCGAAGAGAGGGGCTGCGCGTCCGCGCGAGAGGGCCCAAGGGCCCGAGGGGATGCTCCAGCGATGAGTACATAAGTGTGTATTCGACTCGCTGAGCTGCGCGTTTGTTCGACTCGGAAGTGCCTCTCGTCGCCCTGAGTTATCCTGTGCATCTTTCTCCCATCATGGGTGCGCCGGGGGCCGATTTCGGGCGCTGCCGAAGTTCTTGGAGAGAGCGGATGGGCCCGGAATTGTTCAGGACAACAAATATCGCGATCACACTGGGCGCTGTCTCTTGGACCCTCATGCTCACAGTGGCAATGTAATGTAGTGTGCGTGCAGAGCGACGATATTGTTAACGTGTAGTTATAATGTGCATGCGTGACATATCGCAGGTTGCGGGGCGAGATCGCAATGAGCCCGCCGCTGCTAGGGCGAAGCCAGAGACAAATGATTATCCTCCTCCCGCCCGGCCGGCAGTGGCTCGCGGCGTCCCGCGGTGTCCCGTGGCGTCCCGCGGTGTCCCATGGTGTCCGCCGCTGCTAGGGCGAAGTCAAGACAAATGATTATCCCCCGCCCGCCCGTCCGTCCGACCGTCGGCGGTGGCTCACGGTGTCCCGCGGTGTCCCGTGGTGTCCCGTGGCGTCCCGTTGAGTGAGATCGATAGAGAGATCCACAGTGATATCGATACTGAGATCGATACTGAGACCGATGTGGTGCCCCGAGATCTTCCAAAATGTGAGATAGATAGTGAGATCGATAGTGAGATCGACAGGAGTCCCGTGGTGTCCCGTGGTGTCCCGTTGACCGAGATCGATGGTGCGATCGATAATGAGATCGATGTTGAGATCGATGTGGTGCCCCGGCGTGCCCCGTGGTGTCCCAAAGAGTGATATCGATAGTGAGATCGATGGTGCGATCGACAGGTGTCCCGTGGTGTCCCGTTGAATGAGATCGATGGTGCGATCGATAGTGAGATCGATGTTGACATCGATGTGGTGCCCCGAGGTGCCCCGTGGTGTCCCGGAGTGAGATCGATAGTGAGATCGATAGTGAGACCGATAGTGAGATCGACAGGTATCCCGCGGTGTCCCGTGGTGTCCGGCGGTGGCCCGTTGAGTGAGATCGATAGTGAGATCGATCGTGAGATCGACAAGTGTCCCGTGGTGTTCCGTGGTGTCCCGTGGTGTCCCGTTGAGGGATATCGGTAGTGAGATCGATTGAGTCAGATGTTGGTTCCCCCCCAATTCCCCCCCACACCTTCGTTATCACCCGGAGGGTTGTCGTATAGGTAGAATCGTTGTATGCCGTGGCTGTTGTAAGTGCATAGGACGGGCGCTACACAAGTACAATCAAGCATTGTTAAGGGTCGATTGCGACGCACCTCCCTGGACAGCCTCGGGACACCACGGCGGGACAACCCGGCCACCGCCCGCCCTCGGGGGAAGTAGGAGGGGTGGTCGACGGTTTTTGACCCGCTCTAACCATAGCGGAGTCCTTCCTCTCGCCCGCCCACGCAGTTTCGCCTCGCCCGCGCGCACGACACGAACCCGAAACCTAAACAGATTTCCCGGAGGGGGTTTTTCTTTTCCATTTCGAGCTCACCCCCCAATCTCGGACAGTAGAGACAAGAGAAAAAGACTCGGGCTTCCAGTTGAAGTTTTTACGCCCCACGCCTCTAAGAGGCGGGGGGCCTTCTGTGAGAAGGCCGCCACTCTCGCCCTGCCCACTTCTGCGCGCCGTCATCGCGTATTTGATGATTGGCTGTTCTTTCGGCACTATTTCCTTCACAGGCGCCCGCTCCTTATACGTAACGGCGCTAGGGAGCTCGCCCTGAACTCGAGCTCATCGTGGACGCGGGAGCGCCTGCTGAAAGTGGCTGGTGAGCGTTTGGTCGAGACCTACGCGATGCCCTACTCGAGCACGACCCGCGACGTGGAACCGAAGGGCTTCACAATCGCGGACTACGTGCAGTATCTGGAGCGCCGCAGAGATGGCAACTTGTCTGCGAAGTTGCACTTCGCGGTCGTACCCGTGCCCGAGGCCGAGAGGGAGGGGGAAGAGGACGAGGAGTCGATGTTTTTCGCCTTATTCGATCAAGCCTCGATCTAGTTCGGTGCTGATTGGATGTTGTACATGCACGTGTTCGCGCTCGCTGACTCACCGTCGGCATGGTATCGTTCTCATCTCTGGCCCTCGGCTGTGACGAGGAAGCTGCGACCCCTGTGGGCGATTCTCCTTTCAGGTGGTGATCGAGATATCCAAGGAGGAGCTCGGAAGGGTGCGCTGCCAACCGCGGCGGGCTGGCCGGCGCCTTTATGGCTGTGTGCCGTGCAAACAGCAGCTACATAGCCGCGACAGTCGCATGTCGCCAGCCTGTCGAGCTTTTGTTGACGGGCGAGCGCCCAATTAGGTCACCCGTGGGGGTACCAAAATATTCGCGTCTCGCGCTTCGTGATCTAGGCTGGAGGGCTGCCCTTCCCCAGAGGGGCGGCGCGAGATCTCGAACGCAGTCGCTCATCGCGCATTGCGCATCGCGCAGCACAAACCACGAAGTCGGATGAAGTACAAGGCTTCGTTGACGTGTCGAAGCGAGCTCCGCAGGACACTTTCTGGGCGCGGCGTTGCGCTGCGTGCGGAGGCGGCGCGGGAGGCAACTGGGGGCGACTGGCGAGACGCGGCTCAGGCGCGAGGCCGGCAGTGCAACCTGTGTAGGTCGCAGAAGCGTCCCTCCTCGGCGGCAGGTGGGGAACCAGTGCGGGTCGGTGCCCCCGAGCATCGTGCGCGTAGCGTACGGGAGGCGAAAGCGCGGCATCGTGTGCACACGCAGCTCAGAATGCTTCTCGCTTTGCGCTTGGTTCGGGGGCACTGCCACCGCCACTTCCGAGCATTGAGCAGTTTCAGTCGACGATGCTGATGGAGCACCCGAAGTCGAGTCTTTTGATGATGCCGTGCTGGATGAGGCAAGGCTTGGTTCTCCCCCCAAAGGAGTGTATATAGTCTTGGTGCAATGGCTTCTCAGCGGCGTGGCGACAAAGCATACGATGTAGCTCTAGTTTAGGCGAACCTCGTCGCGTGGTTGCATTTTTGCTGCGGGGAACCAGCTACTTGCCTTGATACGGAAACCGCGCAGCGTCTCCTGTGCCTGACTTCACCTCGCACTCATGTCATGTGCACTTGCGCGTGTGTGTGTGTGTGTGCGTATGTGTGTGTGTGTTTGTGTATCGAAGGCGCCTTTGGCGAGACAACTGAGCCCCGAGCTTTAAGGAGACGGCTATTTGGTGAAAGGTCGGCCGGATTTGGGCAGGGCCTTTTCTTGGGGCCGCCTTAAGGCTGGTGTGGGGATCTGGTCGGGCCTTTTGGGCGTTCTTGAGGTCCTTCTGGGGCTCCTTTGAGCAGTTATGTGGCTCTTAGGGCGAAATTGGCCCTCAGGCGCCTTCGGAAACTGTCTTGGGCGCCTCTCTTGGGGAATCTTGAGGGTCATGTGTCTCTTTCGGATTTCAAGTCGGAAGCCTACGGCAATTGTGATGTCCCCTTTGGCCTTAGTCGGTGGAGCGAGCTTCGCGTCACAATTTTCACGTTCTGGTTGTATCGTTTCTGCTCCTGCTCCTTTATCAGATCTCCCGCACCCTTGTTGTTCCGTCAGCCGTCCGCAGCACCAGTGGCGTGGCGCTATTCCGTGGCCCCGATGTCAAAAGGCTCCTAGGCCCCCCGCCGCGGGTTCAGGAACCGCTCGCGTCACCAGCGGTGCCGCCAGATCGACCTGCCACGCCTGCGGCCCAGGCCAGGAGGGCTCGAAGGTCTGCGCGGAGCCTGGACCTTCAGAGAGCAAGCAGACATGATCACGTCAACTAGCAGCGCCTCGCAAGACCGACAGCAGCTACTTCACCATGCAAGATGGAGACCGCGATGGGTGCCAGCGAGGTCCGTGAGCACGAGGGCCTCATGCTCCAGAAAGCCAAAAAGGAGATGGACGATCCCGCCCTTCATGTGACTTCATCGGTTACCACGAAGAACACGTCGGTGAAATGTGCTAGTGACATGTGCAGGTACGTCACATGTCCGATCTGCGACCAAGGGCGTCGTCATTGCCGACAGAAGCAAGCTCGCCGAGCTTTGGAAGCACATCATCACGATTTCCTCATGACAGCCTGAGGCCAGGACAATCGAACGCCAATGCGCAGAATGATCAATGATTTGCCCAAGACGAGCATCACCCCTGTGGTGGCATCAGCATCAACTGGACACGGCAAGCCACCAACTTCACGAGCTCGTAGACCTCCAACTACGCCAGCACTGCAGGGACTATACACAACGCCAGGTTCGGCACAGAGCGGCTTCATCACCGACAGTGCCGAGATGACAAAGAGGATGTTAGAGAAGATACGCGCGATCCGCGTCACCAGTGCAAGTCCACAGCCATGAGAAATAGTCGAAGGCATGATTTTCTTCCACGGCTAGCCGCCCAACCAGGCGAAGGACACGCCCACTTGCACGAAGTGCGACCGTCACCTGTGCCCGACACGGGGCCTGGGCGATATCAAAAACTCAGGCGCGCGCCAAGCAGCGCGGCCGTTCCAAGTTTGGCAACGCAAGTTGACGGGGCTATCAAGAAGGATGACTCGGTCCACATCCGTTTCAATCGCCACAGACATTTCCTCCACTGCTTCTCGCGGGCGCCCCGAGTGAAGAAGTTCAACGCGCGCCCGAAGCAGCTGAGCGAGATGTACAAGTACCGTCTAGCCAACGACGATGGCTGGACGGATGTGAGCGCTGGCCAATTCCCGATTCCCGTGCGTCCGAACATCCACCAACCTGGCTACATCTCACATTAGACATTAGACACGCGTCGCCACGATGGTCTGCGACCCCGACGAGAGCGACGACGACGATTGCGACAACGTTCGGGCGATGGCCACTCTCCAGACATATTCGGAGAAGAGAGGAGAGTAGTATTGACATGGCAATTGGGGAGGAGAAGGAGGGGATTGCGAAAGAGGAATGGGTGGATCAGAAACAGGACGGATAAATGATGAGGAGGGTGATGCGATGAAATTCAGGCAAGTATTCCTGTAAGGCGACATAGTATCCGCGACGGCAAGGCAAACGTACGGAGCAAGCGAAAACGCACGAGGAGGTCACATACTTGTAGGAAGAGCAGGGCGAGGCGGAGGAGGGGAAAACGGATGAGGAGGGACAGGGAGGGAGGGAAGGAGTGAGGAGGGAGGAGGAGGAGGAGGAGGAGGAGGAGGAGGTGGAGAAGGAGGATGAAAAGGAGGAGAAATAAGGTATGTGTTCGGCCCTAGTTTGAGGAGGTCGAGCTAGCGGCTCGAGCAGCAGCACGTGGGGGACCTTGTGACTGCCTGCGGTGCTGTCTGAACTCCTCGAAGAGGAGAAGGAGGACGAGGAGGAGGAGGAGGAGGGCGGAGGCAGCTCGTCTCTGGTTCTCTGCTTTGTTTTCCCTTGGCAGCCGACCGCGCCCCCTCCGACCTCCCGAGCGGCCCAACTACATTTCCGGCTGGGAGCTGACACTGCTGTTCGCAAGCTTGATTGCGAAGGAACGAGGATAGCGAACATTGGACTATGTTGGCGCAGGGGTGTGTGTGTGTGTGTGTGACACGGACGAAAATCAGGACGAGGACGGGGGCGACGACGACGAGAACGACGACGGCGAGGCGGACAGGCAGGATGGTTATGATGATGGTGATTATGATGCTGATGATGATGAGGATGCTGATGCTGATGCTGATGCTGATGCTGATGATGTTGATGATGATGATGTTGATGATGATGATGATGATGATGATGGTTATGGTGATGGTGATGGTGATGGAGATGATGTTGGTGCTGATGATGATGATGATGAAGATGAAGATGAAGATGATGATGATGATGATGATGATGATGATGATGATGATGATGATGATGATGATGATGATGGTGATGATGGTGATGGTGATGGTGATGGTAATGAGGAGGATGAGGAGGAGGAGGAGGAGGAAGAGGAGGGGGACCAGGATGAGGATGAGGATGAGGATGCTGATGCTGGTGCTGATACTGGTGCTGATGCTGATGCTGTTGCTCGATGATGATGGTGATGGTGGTGGTACTGGCGATTAAGCTGATGATGGTGATGAGGAGGATGAGGATGCTGCTGCTGATTATGATGATGCTGATGCTGATGATGATGCTGATGATGATGCTGATGATGATGACGCTGATGATGCTGCTACTGATGATAATGCTGATGATGATGGTGATGATGATGAGGAGGAGGAGGAGGAGGAGGAGGAAGTGGAGGAGGACTAGGAGTTGGAGCAGGAATACGGCGACGATAATGACGAGAGGCAGAGGACTGAGGCAGAGGACTGAGGAGGAGGAGGAAAAGGAGGAGGAGGAGGAGGAAGGACGAGGAGGACGACGATGAGGACGAGGACCGGTGCGCGAGGCCGACGACCCACTCGGCTGGGTGAGCACCGAGCCCCCTATCCTGGAGGACAGGCGCAGAGTGGGTTGGGAAGACCGCCCCCTCCTCCCGTTGTCCCCTGCGGGCGGTACAGTAGGAGGATTACCGAGGAGGATGTATTGGAATTGCGGGAAAAGGATCACCTTTCGATGATACAAAGGGATTTGGCGGGGCGGCCATCAAAGTTTGTTTTTGCACACGTGCAGGGGCAGACGATGTCCTTGCCAGCAGCCCGCGGCAGGGTGCCCTGCCAACGCCGCTGACTATGCCGCCGCTGGCGTCAGATCTGGAGGAGGCCTCAGGTCGGCTGTTGCGAACATCTGGGCCCGCCTGCCCGTGGCGGAACATATTTGTTCTTACTTCGAGCGCATCGTTGGGCTCGCCCTGAACCTTTGCACGACGGTCTTCATCCCGCTCTTCCCCACGACTCTCGTGGACAGGAAATCGTTTTCACCGTAAACTACCTCGGGTGCTTCTTCGTCCCAGGGAGAGGTCAGCGCAAATGGGACGGCGCCCTCAGGGAATACCAGGACCGCGCGGAGATCTGGCGATCCCTGCGCGTGGGCATGCTGAACACGATCGGAGCGTTCTGGATTTACGTGTCGTCGGTCCTCTTGTTTTGCGCACGGTTTGGTCCGTTGCCGCCGCATTGTGCCGAAGTCGAAATCCAGGTGTTGCGGCGTTTGTTTATCGGGCCTGGATATTGGATGTCTTCTGCTGTTCCCCGCGATACATTCGATGTCCAATCCGCGTCTACTGAGTACAGTGCCGTTCGTGCACGAGTTTCTCTGCATGAAAGTCGCAAAAAACAGCGGGCTTCAGGTAACGAGCAGGGCGAACACACTTCGGACCCTTGCCACGGCCACCAGCAGACACGCCACCCGCATTATCGATGTTGACGAGTGGTGTCAGAGTAGCCTTCTCTTCTCGTTTGAGGACGCTGTCTTTCGAATGCACGGAGCGGCCGTGGGTGAGCGCGTCTTTCTGGACACCCAGCACCTTGAGCATCCGTGGGCCGGGTGGCAGGCCACAGTTGCGCGACTGTTTCGACCAGACTATGCCCCCGCAGCCTCGACACATCTCCGTCGCAAGCTACGCCAGTGGCAAGTTCGAGCGCCGCCTGGGCACTTTGTGTCACGATGGACTCGCGTCACCCAGATCGTGTCGGACGTCGTCGCGCCGAGATTCGTAGCAGCAGCAGAGCGGACGGCCTGCTATGGCTGGGGGATCGCACGTCGATTTCAGGGCTTTTCCTGGTGCGTCATGAGCTGCGCCGGAAAGGACGCGATTGAGCATGAGGGGCGTAAGCGATCCTACCATGGCTGCTGCTCGCGGTACCTGGGCCTCCCGCGCCCGTCTACGGAGCGCGCTATGGAGAACGTCGTCGGCATCGACGGGCCCTCGCTGTCTTCGCGGGGAGACCGTTCAACCCGTTGTTGGCGTAGGCGGAGAAGAGTGCTTTGAGGGCTATTTCCATTTACTCCTTGCACATGGCGCGCGCGCGCAGCTCCGACAAGGATTTCCGGGCCACCCGAGGGCCGCGGAGCTGATGGTGAGGGCATTCGCCACGCGGTGCGCGCGGACGACCAGAGGCTGATTCCCCTTTGTGTTATTTCTCAGCTTGCCTTGTTCTCTCCCCTTCTCACATGTCGTGATCCAGGCTCGGGCAGCTACTCGTGCGTCGATTACTGGCTGGCCAGCGGCTGCGCTGCCAGCGAGATGCACCCGCCCGCAATACGCGGCGGGCATCCTGCGCGAGTGCACCCTCAGCGGCGACGCCGACAAGCGCGGCGGCCGCGCATCCGGCCCGCGGTGCGCCAATGCTACCGCAGGAGGCGCTTGGGCACGGCAGCAACCTAGTGGCGCCAGTTATTCGTGAGTCTCGCGCACACTTCAGCAGCGCGTTCACGACCTCAAGCACGCCATGGCGCGACGCAACATTCGAGCGAGCATGCGTGCGCGGGCGCACTTATTGGACTTCGCGTGTGTGTGTGTGTGTGCGTGTGTGTGTGTGCGTGTGTGTGTGTGTGTGTGTGTGTGCGTGTGTGTGTGTGCGCGCGTGCGTGCGTGCGTGTGTGTGTGTGTGTGCGTGTGCGTGTGTGTGTGTGTGTGTGTGTGTGTGTGTGTGTGTGTGTGTGTGTGTGTGTGTGTGTGTGTGTGTGTGTGTGTGTGTGTGTGTGTGTGTGTGTGGTGTGTGTGTGTGTGTGTGTGCGTGCGCGTGTGTGCGCACGTGCGCACGTGTGTGTGTGTGGTGTGTGTGTGTGTGGGGGGGGGGGGGGGGGGGGGGCGTGGTAGAGATGGGCGGCGGCGCGTGCCCATGTGCATATGCCTCACTTCGTTGTGCGTGACATAACGCACGCGCTCGCGTGCTTCAGCGCGCAGCCTATCACATGTTTCAGTCACGCGCTGCAGTTCCTCGGCGATTTCCTCGGTCGGCTCGCCGAGACTGTTGAAAGACGATTGGGCGCTGGCCGATCGCGCGCATGTGCTTCATGGCTGCAGTAATCACTCAGCAGCAAGTCCGGTCCAGTCCATCGATGGGCCATGCCGCGGGGCTGGCGGCTGGCCGAGGTCGAAATTACCTTGGGGCCCAGCAGCATGCCCGATGATATTTCCACGGCGCACAGGGCCTCTTGGGGCTCCATCTGGAATGGGGAGGATGCCCCATCGGTGGCGTGCACTGGTGGTGCATTTGAAAGTCTCGGGGGTGATCACCTCGGGGGTCTGCGGGAGCCGGTTTTCTAAAGGTTTCGGGCGCCCTCCCATTGGCGTTGGAGAACTTCCAGGCACAGCGCCCGCAGCGCTTCGACCACGGCGCGGAGGCGCGACTGCCCCTCTTCCGGTGGGCCTTGGGCGCTCCCGCGAAGCGCGAGGAGGTGCAGCACTTCCTCACGTTGGCGGGCCTGGCGGCAGGCCTCGGGCGAGAGGAGATCGGCCCCCGCCCCCTGAGGATTGGCGGGGCCACGGCGATGTACCACGTCGCGGACGACCTCTCCAAGGTTCTGAGGTGCGGGAGATGGGCGTCGGACTCGTTCTACGCCGACCTCTGGGAGTCGCACGAGCCACAGCGCGACGTGGCCAGGCGCATGGCCAACGTCCACTCAGAGCTGACGACGCCGGCAGCGAAGCCTCAGGAGCGAGCCGCCGGCGACAGCGCCTGGCGAGCCCCCCCCGGGGGCTTGTCGGCTCTCGGAGCCGCAGCGGCGGCAGCGGCCGCGCTGGGGCAGGCGACGGCGGCCGGCCAGGAGCTGGCGGTGGCGGGGGGGGACAAGAAGCGCGTCAGCGTGGGCCTGACGGCGGACGGGGATGACATCACCATCGCGATCCCCCTGGAGATCATTGTGAAGCTCATCGTCTCACTGGTGGTGGCGCTGGCTACGGCGTTGGCGATGGCCCAGCACTGCTGGTGCAGTTCGAGGCAGGGCCGCCGGCCCCAGGGCTCGAGCGGGGCGCCGCGGGAGATGATGGAGGACAACGGGAGGGCGCCCAAGAAGCCCAAGGTGATCTACTGCGACGCGGGGGTCCAGGGGCCGGCGCACTACAACGGCACCCGCTACCTCCACAAGAACCAGGGCTTCCAGCGCGGGGGCGAGGTCACGCGCGAGGTGACCGCCAAGCCGCGCAGCGGCTGAGCAGTGGCGCCGCCGGCCGAAGGCCTGGCGAGCGAGTGAGATGGTGAGGGGCCGCAAGGCGGCTGAGCCTGAGCAGTGGCGCCGCCGGCAAAAGGCCTGGCGAGCGAGTGAGGTGGCGAGGTGCTCCGCCGCCGGCCTCGGCCTGGCGCGCGGGGCCACGCTGGCGCATGGCGCCAGGCGTGGCGTTTCAGGCGCCCGCGGGCAGCGGTGCGCTTGCGGGCTGCGGGGCGCCGGCGGTGGCGGCCGGGCGCCCGTGGGGCAGCTGGGCCGCGCTGGGGCCCCTGAGTGGCCAGGTCCGTGGGTCTCCCCACGGCCAGCTTGGCGCTGAATTCGCAGCTGCAGTGTCGTCGCGATGGGGGCGGCGGCGCAGGCCTCGGTGCAGCCGGCGGCGCGCGCAGTGCACGCCACCTGGCCGCGCCCCGCGCTGGCGCCGCGCAGGCGTCGGCGCGCGAAGAACCCGGGTGCGCCGGCGGCCTGCCGCGCCGGCTGCCCGCGCCCCGGACCGCAGCAGGGGTGCGCTGGCAGCGACCGCTGCCAGGCGCGCCCAAGAGGTGGCGGCAGGGCCCGCTGACGCGTGGCGGAAGGTGGAGCGCGCGCACACGCAGCGCCAACATCGTCATCTGAGTCACCATCCTTTCCCTCCTCGACCTCCTTCGGCATAGGTTCGAGGAGCCTTTTCGGTCGTGCGTTTCTGCTGTTAGGGATAGCTTAGGTGTTTGGTCAAACGCTAGGCTCTCCCTGACCCCAGGAATGCGGGGCCCGTCTTCTCCTGTCCTTGCTCCTGCCTCTGCCTGCTCTCCCCCGCTCCCCCCTCTGGGGCGCTAGCCTTTCTGGGCCAAGCTGGCCCGCCCTGGAGGCCCTGCAGGCTTCCCCCACCCGCTGGCCTTTTAAAGGCTCTCGGCTCGCGGTCGAAGTGCCGCGGGCGGCAGAGCCCGCTAACGCGTGGCGGAAGGTGAGGAGCGCGCGCGCGCAGCGCCAACATCATCATCTGAGTCACCGTCCTTTCCCTCCTCGGCCTCCTTCGGCGTGGGTTTGAGGGGCCTTTTCGGTCGTGCGTTACTGCTGTTAGGGATAACAAAACAAATCGCGCCACGCTGCCCCCCCCCCATCCCCCGGGCCCCGCCCCCCCTGCCTCCCCGCCGCCATCCCATCCGCCTCCCCGCGGCGCGAAGCAATTGCTCATTCGCGCCGCGGGGGGGGGGCGGAGGGGGGGGGGAGGGCGCCGCGGCGAGGAGCAGCGCGGCGGCCCAATCAATGCGAAATCCGCGCGCTAAGACGGTCTCAGCGCGCTCGGGAGCTCTTTTCGTCGGCGCCAAGACCCCGCGCGCTGGAGGGGGGTCTCAGCGCGCAGAGCGGGGGGCCCCAGCACGAACAACTATTTCTTCCTGTGCTAAGATCCCCCC